TAAATTCTTTTTGCTTAGAAAAAGAATGTATTTAAAATATCTAACCAAAAAAATGAACGTGTTTGCGATCGTGAAAAATAACCGATCAAGTTATCATCGTTTGTAATGAATTATCGCAGGGAATTAATCACTTTCTTTTTGTTACTTTTAGACTCTTACAGTCATAAAAATCTAGGATAGTGCAAATCTCTACCATTTAATTTGAGCTAAAAAAATTCAGGAAATGATCAATCTATGTGTTGTAGAACTTGATCAGACCATATATGAGAGAGAGTAATTTCTGTTTCTGAGAAGATAATTCATTGGCAACAATATACATCTTTCAACTCTTTTTTGATCGGTGAAAGTCAGTATTATTAGTCAGATAATTCATTAGGTAAACCAAGGTTTGCCTATCCAACCTTGGTTGGATAGTTTGTTGTACTTTTCGTCTAATTTTTTTTTCATTGGTGTACCCTTTTCGAGTTTTATAAAATGTTTTGTTTGCCGAAAAAAAAAAAAGTCAATATTATTAGAATAGTACTATTAACACCATTAAAATAGTTAAAGATTTTTTAGCTGACATCTGTAAAAACTATACAAATACGGATACGCACATTTTTGTAGCTGACATCTGTTTAACCTTTTCTTTTTCTTTTTGGGGGGTAAGTATCTGTTTGAACTTAATTACCTACTGACTTTAGATGGGGAAGAAAAATGGGTGTGTCTAGATTCTCTCTCTCTCTCTCTCTCCCCTAGCCGTCTTCTCTCTTTTTTTTGTTTTCCCTTAGGGTTCCATCACCCTATTACTGCGGCGAGAGGGGAGAATTATACTTTTGATGGGTGTTTTTTTTCCTCTGCAGTGATGATTTTTTGTTTTCAATAATCTCTCTTTTTTAGTTAGGGTTTTTCTCTTTCGATCTCAGATTTGATAGTTTCTCTGTATTTTTTTCTCTCTTTTCCCCTTTCTCTTGGCTTCTCATTTATCATCGAGATGCCGTATCAGGTTACGATAAAGGTGGTAGTGATGGTCCTTTGATGAAGAAAGTAAGAGACAATGGTGGTTCAATCAGATCGATTGGATTAACTTACGCTCACTGTATAGGATTTTGCCCATGAAAGTTCCCATCGAAGACATTCCCTGCAAGGCTGATCGGTTAGGAGTCATGATTTTTTTTTTTTTCCCGTAGATTAGCGAATGTAGCTGCGTACACTTTGGCAACTTCGGATTTGTAAGGTTCTGGTATTCATACTTGATAAGCCAGACCTCTTTAATAGTTATTGAATCCTTTGTGGAACAATAACCGTCTTCTTTTTTTTTTTAAACGGCGAAAAAGATTTATTTCATTAAAACGAAATGAAGTACATCGAAAAATAGGGCAAGAAAATGTTGAATCACAATGCGAAAGTAACATCCCAACGAGGTTGGCATCCTACCCCACAACAAGCATATGCTGTTCAAGCCCGAGGATTGATAAGAAATCAACCCAACCAAATTATAAGAAGAGAACCCAGTGAGGCTTACAAAGCAACAAGTGGAAGTTAAAAAACCTCCCAGTAAGATCAGGACAAAATGTCAAAGCAAGATTCCATTGAACCCAATTCGAGATAATCAACTTTGGCGCAATCAGCAGATGGCCAGTTTGCAGCCCTTGCATCAGAACGGATTTTCCGAATGGATAATCAAAATGGTGATAGCATTAGGCTTCTACTAAAGCAAGAGCAGATTAGCAGCAACACGTACGCTTTCAGAATTCAATGAAAGCAAGATTCCACTAAAGCAATAACCGTCTTCTTTGATGTACCGGTATACTCTTTGTTATCAATGAAAGTTTCTTACCATGTTGACAGAAAAAAGAAAAAAAACAAAGAAGACTTAAGTTGAATTAATTAGTTTATTGAGCCAGATTTGAAGTTATAAAAAAAAAAAAAACCACTACTGAATTTACTTACTTTAGAATTAGAAAAAACGCCTTTAATATCTGATTCATGTGTTGTCAAAGGATGATATGTCGCAGAAGTCTTTTAATATTATATAAGGTTAATAAATAGGAGTAGTACAATTTTAGGTGTTGTTTTATTTATTTGTCATCCACTTTGTAATTAAGTATATTCAAGATGGTTTGTTTAATAGACAGAAGTGATATATTTATACGGGTAATTATTAATAGGATTCTATAACCTTTTCGAGAGAATTGATTTCCGGCGTAAGCCACGTTAAAGGGTTTTTCTGATCAGTGTTTGGATATTGACTCATTTCTTCTGCGATGAAAGCGCTTATACAGTTTGTCTCGTTTTGGAGCAGAACAAGAGGAGAGTTTTGTTGTTATTACAACTCAGGTGTCTGTGCTGCTTACATGCACCTTAACGAATTTTGGGAGTCGAATCCCACCGCCCGCTATTGAGAAGCGCTCAATTAAAATCGAAGCAAAATTCAGTATAAGATTGGCAAACTCCTAAGTACGTCTCAAAACCTTCACCACCAAGCCAACCCCTCGCAACTGTTTTCCGAGTTAAGTTGATGGAAACTCCATGGGATTGGCCAAGTGATTTAGACCTGAGACTTAGGTGTTTGCTTCATCCTAAGGTCTTAGGTTCAATTATTCTTGCCAACAACTCTTTAAGCCAACTCACTCAACGTACACTTAAGCGTCTGAAACGGCTGTGGGAAGAACCGCAGGGATTAGTTTGAGGTATGCGAAAATTGGCCCGAGACACCCTAAAAAACAAAAACAAAAAAAAAAGTTTGGTTGATGGACATTGTACAAAAATCCATGAAACCTTCTTTAATCAGAACCTCCAATAATTCTTTAATCAGATATTGGATCCGATTGGTACCATCCATAGCCATAGGAAATCATATCTGACCTTTCCTTTGGTTGATTTTTTCAACATCAGCCATCAGGTACACTAGAAAATCTCACTAACTAAAGATCACTATTGGACTATTCTATTACATGGTACACCAACCTAGCCGGCTAGCCCTAAGGTAAGTCTATAAGAAGAGGATTATTCTGTGGTCTCCGTGTACGGCTTCATGGTGATCTAACACCCTTAATTTCTTGCCACACATAATCTTGTGGAGTACAAACAATTCGCCCTAAGCCATAAAAAAATGTATGGTACAGAAGGGTGTGTTGGAGCACCACGTAACGGTGTCCTAGAACCGCCAAATAATTATTCCAGAGAAAGAGGGATCACTCTCTGTGATTTTGACTCTTGTGATCAGATGTACCTCTGTCTGCTTAGAGAAAGGAAAGCAAAAATAAGTCTTCACATCCCACCGGCATATATCAAGTCATAATTCTTTTTTTTTTTTTTTTATCAAGATTGCATACATCAACAAGAGTTAGTGGAGTCATGAGCTGGGATAATTAGGCTCCCTTCTAGAAATTTTCTTAAAAAATAAGCAGCTTATTTCACATTTTCAAACTAAAAAATAATGTAAATAAAAAATAATTTTTCAATTTTTTTTGCATCGTATAAAAGATCTCGTCGAGATCCTTCAAACAAAATCCATATTGCATATTTTTAGATTTCAATAAACTCATGATTTTTGAGCTTGAAATTACCTTCTTAAAAAATAAGAACTTAAAAGTCGTTCTGGAACGGAGCCTTAGTAGGTTAGTCCACCACAGAGAGCTTTAGAGGTTATTCTCAGCCATGAATTTCAAACGCCCACGACGGGGCTCAAACTCTAACCTTCTACATGAGGAGTACCAAAAGATACCAACTAAGCTAGAGCCCATTGGCCTATCATGTCATAATTCAACCAAGCACTTAAAAGAAGGAAAATAAAAGGTATTATGATCGAAAATATCAGTATCAAATTAGAACAATTGAAGTTATAATTATGGCTTTCATTTTCTTTTCTTTTTTTATCACAATTCGTTCAGACGTTTGATACTAATAAATTCGCCAAACACTTACCAATAAATTATTGGCATTATTTAATTGTTGAAACGTACGAACAAAGATGTAGATCATCAACATTGAAGCCGAGACGGTGCCATTTTGCATTGAAGGAGACTCGCTTGGTGGAGGAATTATTCAAAATATGGTATGCTGAATTTGAACCCTTCATTTTTCTTTCGTCGACACTTTCATGGATAGTTTTCATGTACCGTTTCGACCCTCGGAATTATTAGAAGAGTGCATTTAAGTTCCTTGGCATTTGGGCCTACGCATTGAACTGCTGGCCAACGCATTGAAGCACACATTAGAGGGACATTGAAACCCATCAGATACCAACCTTGGTTCTATTTGAAATTCTTGATTTTGTGGATTAATCTACGAAAGAAAGACATAAGCATAGTGAAAAAAGAAAAAAACAATTCAGCTTTACAAAATCAAATATTTTTTTCTAAACTGCACTCCACAAATGTATGAGAATTATTATTTTTGTACAAATACATGACTTTATAAATCATTAACGATTTAACAAATCTTCAATTGTTGATAAAAAAAATAAAAAATAAAAGGCTAACAAAAGGAAGCCACTTTTTTGATTGGCAAAATGAAATTTATTAAAAAACGAAGAAATGGAAAGGAAATCCAACAAAAAGTTGGATGAAACATCTCAAGGATAAAGTCCAAACCATCCAAGGGTCTACAAGGATCCAAAACATACCAAGCAAATAAGCTCAAACCACCTAAGGGTCTACAAGGGTCCAAAACATACCAAGCAAATTAGCCCAAACCCACACTCAAATTTACAACTAAAAGCCCAAAGAGAAAACACAAACCCAGCCCAAAGCCTTGGACCATCCCACCCAAACCAGCCCACAAAACCCTAACTACTTCACCACCCACCGCCGTACAAAAAACCGGAGCCTCGCATCGCCGTTAAGCCGAGCCGGCCTCTCCCAGATGTAGAGACCCACGACAGGATCTGGCCTATGGCAATGAACAACAAAAAGAAGCTACTCAGGGCCGGCCCAATGGGAATGCCCAAGAGGCTGCCTCCTTGGGCCTCCACATTTTGGGCCAAAAATGGGGCACTCTTTCCTAGATAAACAAACTCTTTTGGTAGTTCAATGGTAAAGTGTTTGCTCTTTCACATAAGATGTCTAGGTTCAAATCCTAGTAAGGTATTTTTTTGTAATGTCTTTTTGCCAAAAAAATTTTTCCTCCTATTACACAAATTGGGAAAATGATTAATGGTAAAGTGTAGTGTCTTTTTGCCAAAATTTCCTCCTATTACACAAATTGTGATGTCTAGGTTTGTATGTTTCACATAAGATGTCTTTTTCCTTTTTTGGTAGTTCAATGGTAAAGTGTTTACTCTTTCACATAAGATGTTTAGGTTCAAATCCTGGTAAGGTATTTTTTTGTAGTATCTTTTTGCCAAAAAAAAATTTCTTGCTATGATTCAAACCTAAGTCCACTCAATATTATTGCGACCACACAAGCCATTAAGGCCAAAATATTTACCATATTGAATAGTATAAATGAAAATTATATATAGAAAAATACTTCTGTTTATTATTTTTAAATTAGAAAATTTATGTAAGGCACTATTCCAGTATTTGGCCTCGGGCATCCAAATATCTTGGGCCGGCCCTGAAGCTACTTACACAATCTAGTTTTTTGGCCAATTAAAAACTTTCTAAAAGATGTTTGTTTAAAGTATGCATTTTCCTTCTTCTTTCTCTCAAGAGAATCGCCACAAATCTCAGATCCCAAACATTGTGTTTTAACTTCGGTCTTGCTCAGTTGCAGGGAAAAAGAAAGGAAAAAGTGGAAATGCTTAATTTTTTTACATTTTGCGCCACCGAAATCTTTAACTTTTTCACCATGATTAGCTTCTCATCGAAACTTATCTAGCAAAAAAACGTAAGAGTTGTACACGAATCTTGTTTCTACACTAGTTTTTTCATAACTCAGCATAAATACTTTCAATTCTCTCTTCATTTTCCAAATATCAAATGAACGCACAGAGGAAAAACTCTGAGGAAAATTCAAATTCACTGGACTGTGAATCTAGATCATTCATTTACTTTCATGGACACTTATATGATTCGGATGTCATGGATCATATCATTTTTTGAAATTCTTTTCATTTTCATTTACGCCACTTCACTATAATTTTCTTGGAATAGTTTTCCTGCACCAATTTCTTGATGACTGAAGGAAGCCGGGCGGCTTTTACACAAGTGGGCCTCAAGACCAACGTAATGCAACATGGGCTTTTCTCAGTGGGGCCAGAGTACAGTGGACCAAGCCCTGCCACTTCTCTTATGGGCCGGCCCTTGCCTACTTTTCTTGTCCACAAAGTAACGGCAGTGTCAAAGTTTTCAAGTTCTCTCTCACAGAAGCACCGAAGAGCAGGAGAAACCAGGGCGGAGCTATGTTGGGGACCAGGGGCCTTGGTCCCATTTGTCCGAGCATTTGAGTTTTAAAATTTTATTTTGTATATATCTGATTTTGAATACTATTTATAATTATTTGTGTATAGCTACTTATAATCTTAATAATTTTTCTTCGATTTGATAAAAAATCGGTTGTTTTACATTCTCATTTCTCAATTTCTTTCATAAATAAAAAATAAACATGTGACATTTGAAGTAGCCTAAATAATCAATATACAATATTCAAAATCTTATGATATAATAACTATACGTTCTGATAAAAAAATGTCTTTTAAGCGAGCCCCCTGGGATCAAAATCCTGACTCCGCCATTGGGAGAAACAACTAGAGAGAGCAATGGAAGCTTCAAACACAAAGAAATCGATTGCACATGAAATCGGAGGGCTCCAAAACGACACCCTCTGCTTCGGGCTCCACAGCGTCAAGGACGAGATCACTGGATCCTAACCCTTTCAATCTGCCTATCAATGACTCGAGCCTTGGTTTCTCTATTCAAGAGGGATTTAAAGTGCAAGTAAATTCTGGTCGAGACACGTTATTTTGGGAGCATACATGGCTGGGTCATACAGCTATTAAAGATGACTTCCCTAGATTGTACATGCGTTCTACTCAAATAGAGGCAGTTTTGAGCAGTGTCTTTGTAGGCAGGGGTAACGGTGACTGGGACTTGCAATTTAGGGGAAGGCTGCGTGTGCAGGAAAGTCAAGAACTGGAGGAACTGAAGCAAAGATTGATTGGTGTGGTTTTGAACCGAACCAAATCTGATTTGCTGTTGTGGATATGGACAGCAAACAAAATATTTTCTGTCAATTCACTGTATAAACAATGGGAAATTCAGACTCAATCTCGCAATATTGTTCTGGGTTCTGTGTGGAAGAACTTAAGCCCCCCGAAGGTGGAAATTTTTGCTTGGATGGCCATTCAAGGAAGAGTTGCAACAAGGTCAGTGCTCTTAAATAGGAATTTGATTTCTGAGAGTCAATTGGCAGTGTGTCCCTTTTGTACCGAGCATGTTGAGACTACCCAGCACTTGTTCTTATTTTGTCGATTTTTGTTGGAAGTATGGTTAAATATTCTGGATTGGTGGAGAATTCAGTGGGTATGCCCATCTTCATTAGCAGGACTAGCATCTTGGTGGTTTGAGAATAGGTTTCGGAACTTGGAGAAATGTATCTGGGAGGTGTGTGTTTCTTTGCAACCCTTTGGTCTATCTGGATAGGGCGGAATGGATATATTTTCAACAACGCAACAACTCAAGTATGGGAAATGGCGGATTTAATCAAAACGAGAGTAACTATGTGGATTAAGACTAAGTTTGACATCAAAATTTACACAATGGAGGACTTCAAAGGATTTCTTGATGGGATACGAAAAGTGAAGTTGTAATGTAATCTTAAGGTGTTCTCTCTGTCCAACTGTGGTTGGATAGTTTTTTGTACTTGCTCCTCGATTTACTCTTTTCGAGTTTATATAATATCTTTCGTTTGCCAAGCCAAAAAAAAAAATCTGTATACACACACACACACTCTCTCTTTAAATATACATGTGTATATGTATGCATTTGTGTGTGGTGTGAAGATGGACCTCGATTGCCAAATGTTTTATAGGTGCGAACCCGACTCCAGGATTGGGCCGAACCCATAATGGATTAATTCTACCAAAGCAAACTAAGATCAGACCTCCAAGACAGGCGAGATGGGCCAAACAATAGTGGGACGTGCTAACGACCCACCTTGTGGAATGGCCTAGGTGGAAGCCTAAGGCTCGTTCTAAGGCGGGTTTATCGATCTAGATTGACGTTGTACACCTGACCTGGGCGTAGACCTGAGAATCAGTTGGAAGATATTTAAGGGGGGGGTGAGGCACATGAAGGCCATGTGCCCATTGGGCGTCACCTTGACATCACTAATTGAGTTGGTTACGCGTGATGTTAGGCACGTGACGTGCACATGCACTTTTAAAGCAAGGGTTATCCCAGAGACAGATCCAAATCGGGGGCACGTGCCCCCACTCGAAATTAAAATATTTTTAAATATATTTTGTATAAATTACTCCCTCCGTCCCTTTTTAAATGTTCTGCTTCGTAACTCCAACTTATTAAAAAGACATCATCATTATACCTTTCATATCAACTTTTTCCTGCACTTTCCCTACTTACCCATCATCATTACACTCTAACTCACTAACTTTTCAAAATAAAATACACATTTAGGGACAAAATAGATAATGCACCAACTTTTACCCTCCTAACTTTACAAAATGGGCACTTATTAAGGGACAGCCCAAAATAGAATACTGAACTATAAATAAGGGACGGAGGGAGTAGCATAATTATGAAAATGTGCTAACATATAAACATAAACACTTGCATATATATCGAAAACACACATATAGAATTAGTTTTATATCTGAATTTCATCATATGGTGCATTTATATTTGTTAATTTACGAGTTGTTTATCTATTTGAATATATTCTTTATTGATTCTCTTTATTTTTAACCATCTGAGAGAAATATTTTAAAATAAATTTATTAACAAAACTAGTTTGATCATTCTAAAATTTGTCGATGTTCATTTAAAACATATTTTAAAATTTTTGTCCGAGATTTTGTGTTCATTTTTACCTAATTTAACTTAAAATACGCGTTATAAACTTTTGTAGTTAGTAATACATGTCTTAATTTTGTACGGTCTTACCGTGATTGACTAAAAAAAATCAATTTTCGCCATTATGATTAATAGTTGTCCCACTAAACTATATTCCTGAATCCGTCCTTGGATAAACCGTCTATATAAATAAAGGGATAAAACCTGGAGAAGGTACGTTGTTCCTAATACTTCTACAGTACTATGTACTTGTTCTCCTCCTTCCACATGTTTTTTTTTTCCTCGGCAAACGAAATTTTTTATTAAACTCGAAGGGGTACATCGAGGGGATACAAACATATATAGGACTAGAAATTCAGAAAGATAGAGCATCCAACCGAGAAGTTGGATGATACAACATCTCACACCCTAAGTTACAACTTTAGCTTACGGATTCCACGTAGGAAGCTCCTAAAATCCTCCACCGAATAAACCTTGATGTCAAACTTTGCTTTCATCCACATAGCCACCCTTGTCTTGATTAACTCCCCAACTTCACTTGCTGACCGTGATGCATTGTTGAAAATGATGTCATTCCGCGCAAGCCACAAAGACCACAAAGATGCAAAGAATGTCACCTCCCACGCGTGCCTCCTTCCACATGTTAACTTGATCGTCGGAGTGTCGCCGGGCTAGCTAATTACGACCCTGTGGTACTAACTGATTGTTTCTCTTGCATAGTGACGTGAAGAAGGAGAGAACTTTGTTTTAGGAAGTACCAACAACTCTGTTTTACTGCTTTGAGGGTGCTACCAGTTGTGATGTTTTGGCTGCTTAATTATCTGGATTAGTATAGCTTCTTTATTTCTGGCCTAATGTTTTCGGCCTTTTTGTCTCCTCTCTAACAATGATCAATTGGAAGTGTTTTTTCTTTTCCCTATTCCATGTATCAATATCATGGTTTAGGTTTCTATTTTTTTTTTGATGCATCCGTGTCAAATTTTTAATAATATAATCATTTTGCCGATCAAAAAAGAAGAAGGAGAGAACGATCAGATCTACCAAGAGACTCAACTCAAACCACCACCAATTGTTTAATTCGTAAGTGTCGTATAAATTCATACTAAGGCCCCGTTC